AGTATTTAAAATCCTCTCTGCTCTGAGTCAAGCACACACATGTTTCTCTGTGAGCAGTGTTAGCCTGGGAGATTTGACAGTGGAAGGCTGAGTAGGAGGTGCTGAGTTGGGTGTGAGGACCCAGATTCTAGTCTGGATCCTATGCCCACTACCACCTTCATGGACCAGAATTTTCAATGGATTCCTCTAGAAACAGCAGGCCCTGCTCAGCATTGACACGGTCAGGTTTACATATAAAGCATTTGGAGGCATGTTCAAGCACATGCTTGAGGTGTGTCAGCCATCATTTTTGCACATATAACCTTTCATCCACATGGAATATTTGCATTGTGGTTGTTTCCATGGCAACTTAACTTGCCTATTTCCAGGTTCTTAACCTACTATTTTCTTTTTCTTTTTCTTTTTTTAAGAAAGATGTTGTTTATAGGCTAGAATGTTCATGCTTAGCACTCTATTAGCATAAATACATCCTAAGCTGTTGTTTTTCATTTATCTCCTTGTTTGTATGTTTTGTTTTTTCTTGTTCTGTGTTCCTGATGTCTTCCATGAGTCCACTGTGCACTGTCGGCAGATGTAGAGAGCTGTCCAGGCCTTTGTTTTTAGCTATTGTTACTTGGAGTCATGGATTTTTCTGTGCAGTAAGGACACAATGGAGGTGGGGAATAAAAGACCCTAAATCCTGCGACATAGAAAGTATATCATGAAACTGAATTCTGAAAATTATTTGTTCTACTATCCAGGATTTGACAACAAACAAAATAAAACAAAAACCCTTCTGACTTAAATTTTATACTCTTAGCAAAGCTGACTTTGGGGGCTGGAGAGATAGCTCAGTCAGTCAAGTAGTTGCCTTGAAGACAGAAGGACCCATAAAAAGTTAGGTTCGGTCCTGGAGTCCAGTTGTAGAGAGGTGTGATGAGTAAAGGGGTCAAGACCATGTTGGGGAAACCCACAAAAACAGCTGATCTGAGCAAGTGAGAGCTCACTGACTCCAGAATGACAGCTGGAGAACACACATAAGACCAAATTAGGCCCTGAATGTGGGTGTCAGTTGGGGGGCTTGGGGAGTCTATGGGGCTGCTGGCAGTGGAACAAGTATTTATCCCTAGTGCATGAACTGGCTTTTTGGAACCCATTCCCTATGGAGGGATACTCTCTCAGCCTAGTCATGGGAGGGAGGGTCTCTGTCCTGCACCAAATGATGTGACACTTTGATGATTCCCCATGGGAGGCCTCACCCTCTTTGCAGAATGGATAGGGGTGGGATGGGGAGGTGGTTAGGGAGGACAGGAGGGAGAGGGAGCTAGGACTGGTATGTAAAATAAGATTTCTTTAAAAATAAAAAGTAAATAAGTATTTTTTTAAAAAGCCAGGTTCAGCAGTGAGCACAGGTAATCTGAGTAATGGAGACAGGAAAGCAGGAGGCAGATGGGTTCATGGAGGCTCAAAGACCAGCTAGACTAGCCTAGCTGGACAAGTCTCTGCCAAGGGAGAGAGACCCTGTCTCAGATGAAAGGTGGAGGGTGCCTGAGAAATGATACCCAATTTTGTTCTCTGATCTTCATGTGTGTGCCATGTGCAAGTGTGGGTGTGTGTGACACACACACATCACAAAAAAAAAGAAGGAAAAGAAAAAAGAAAGAAAAACCAAAGAGATTTCAAAGCAATAAATTTCTATAAAATAAAAATCATGCATGTGCCAAAAGCTTTTATTTACAGCCCAAGCACTGGGAAGTTTGCGGTACCTTGAGCATCTCTGCCCAATAAAAACAAATCAGGATGGTTGATCAATGGGTGATCAACAGAGAGGTTGATCAATGGGTGCTAAGTAACAGTCACGTGACAGCATGGCTCATCGGAGCTAACAAACAGTAGGCGACTAACATTTGTGTACTATACATGTCAGAAAAGGAGACAAAGGTATTTCACAAGTTCCACCATAAAGAGATGACAAATGTTTGAGGAGACATATTTGTTTATCCTGATCTAAACATCCCATGATATGTGAATATATCAAAATACTACACAGCATCCCATGAATTTGTAATTTTTATGTGTTAAACTTAAAAAATCTTTCACACAAAAATAAGCATACTATAATATATTATATCCACACATATGTAAATTTAAATCTCCCAGTTCATATCAGAACAAGTGTAAGCAGCATGAAATTAATTTTGACAATATATTGCATTACTCTGATGGGCTTGAAATATCATCATGTTAAATGTAACCCGTGTAAAATTAAAACATTGGTAGATTGTGCTATTCTTTGTGTTACATTTTTAGAATCCAGTGCGTATTTTGTTTGTATTTGGTTGTATTTCATTTTACAAGATTTATTTCTGTTTATTGTGTATACCAAGTGTGTGCCAGTAGGGTCCTGAAAGGACATCAGCTCTCTTGAAGCTGGGGATAGTTGTAAGTTACCCACCACAGCTGCTGAGAACAAAACTCATGTCATCTGCAAGAGCAGCAAGTGCTCTTAACTGCTGAGCCATCTCTCCGGCCCCCGGTATATATTTTATAGTTAAGCCCATGTCTGTTTGAACAATCGGTGATCAAGTGCCCATGCTACATGTGAGTATCTAACTAATTTCTCCTGAGAGAGAGAATGTTTCAAGTTTCCACAGGAACCATAAGCACAGAGCACACCTCTGTCCCATGGATTCACTTGTGCAGTCAGAGCATATTTTTCAACCCTCCACCAAAGTAAGAAAGAAGGCCTAGCTGGGTCTCCCTTTGGCAGAAGGCCACATTCTGAGGCACACATGCAAGCATTGGTGGATTCCACTGCTAAATAAAAAGGAGCCTGACCGATTGTTCCCAGCATCGAGGGGATGCTGGGCAGCTCACGTACTCCTGGCAGCTCGGACATGACTTGCAATCTGGGGCCCTCCAAGGAGTCATATGGGGATCCAGAGACACAGGTGTGGTGTGTTCTGAGACCCTTCAAAAAGCTTTCTTTTTATGTTTCACCAGTTTGTCCCTGACACGGTTCTTGGTTCTATGAAGCATTTGCTAGCCATTAAGGATTAACTATGAGAGGAAGACCTTCCCTCAGAGAGTATGGTTGAACCTTCCTATCTTCACACACTGAGCCATCTCCTTGGCTCACATTTTTGTATGGATTCAGTGTGAAGCTACCACAGTCACTGTGAGTGATAGCCACTGTGATTGCTCCTGGGTAGCCTTGGCTGGCTACCTCATGTAGTCTCCAAGCTTTCAAGCATGTAAAACATTTTGACATTGTGGCACTATGTAGTCATCTACAAAGTTCATACTTGAGAATTGGGAACAGAGCTGTGCATGCACACACACACACACTTACGTTAGCAATTTTATGCTGAGCCATATTTATACCTATGGGGGCATGGCCCGAGAGCCACAGGTGGGATGTATCTATCTTCATAAATAAGCCAACAGAAAGAGCTGTACAAGGCAGAACTCAGTGTCATGAGCACCAAAAACATTCCTTGCATTCTTGATATTGCCTTAAGATAAACCAGGTATATTCTGACTTGAGTGAAGTCATTTTGGTCCTGAACACTATCAAAGTCTCCTAAACCAATCAAGGCCAATTCAATATTCATATTTCTGCCTAGGACTTCACACATGCCAGTCAGTCCCTAATAAATGGCACTCAGTGTAGTCTTGGGTGTGCCTGCTACTGTTTTCTGTCTCATACCATCTTGGGGCTAATTCTTACAAATCGGAATGAAGCTCTGGAACAACGGTACCCATCCCATTTATGAGGGTTCCACCCTCATGATTAAACCATCCTGTCAATGGCCCCTACCTCTTCATGCAGCCATCATGATTGGATTTCAAATCATGCAGTTTGGGGCATACATCCAGACCATAGCAACCCTAGATGAGGAAGATGACCAAACCCCAGTTTGGTGTGACAGAACCTGAGAGTCACCACTTTCTGCACTTTATCCAAATTTTGTTAAAATTTCATCTACCCAGTAACTCTTTTCTTCACCTAGAAATCTGCAGACATTTTTTGTGAACTAGTATACATACTAAGCAATAAAACTTTTAGCCAGATCTTAGTAGGGCGTCATCATCCAATGCTTTATGGTGTCAGGTTTCCACACACTCCGTTTCACTTTTCCTTCACAATGGCCCAATTTTCCAGAATGTGAGGGTCACGGAAGTAACTTGCCCAACATCACATGGGCTGAAAAGGGGAAGTCTCAGATTCATTTGCCTCTCGGCAAGGGGAAAAAAAATCCCACAAAAGTAGAGAGAAAAAAAAAAAAAGACAAATGTCAAATAAATGAAATCTTGGGGGGCAATTTCAAAATAGCGCAGACAAAATTCATGGTTTGATAAAAAGCTGTAACTGGCACATTAGATGAAAATCAGAACTGCCTCTTGTTGTATTAAAGTTTACAAAGGCTAACATGGAAGCATCCATTAGGCTCGCTAAGATCAGAACCAGTATTCTTCCTTGGTTTTTCCTTGCCTTGCCTTGCTGGCACCTATCGGAGGTAGGTGAGATGCTTGGCCAGTAAAGGGAGCTTTCTCCAAACCTGCATTTGATCCCTGAACTCACATGGTATAAAGAACCGACTCCTGCGAGTTGTCCTCTGCGGCCCATACACCGGCCACGGCTTGTCCTTGTTCATACACACAATAAAACACACACACACACACACACACACACGTAAAAGTGACATATGACTCCAAGGACAAGTACCACCCTAGGTCCTCTACACTGAACTTTGACCCTCCCTCCCACTATATTCTGTTTTTAGCACGTCACCCTTGGCCTAGGGGATCTCACAGTCTCACTAATTCAGGGAGCTGAAACACCAGTGGCATCGCGATCCTCGTTTCTAAATACCACCCTTGATGTCCTAGACTTCCAACTGTGTCCTCCGAGGAATCTTTTCACTCTGTTCTCTATCATCTAAGCCCCAGTGCACTGAGGCCTTCAAAGGCCTGATGGCGAAAGGATGCATTGTGAAGTGGCGGGAGCGTCACAGGCCACGTGGATGCCAGGATCTGAGAGTGGGTGGGTGTTCTCAGTGGCCCCCAGGAGGTCCCCTGACCTTCGTGTAGACTCTGGGCCCGCCGGGAAGAGAGCATGGCCGGCTTCCACCTCTTCTCCTCAAGGCCCTATGGGGAGCTTGGGGAGCCCTCACCAGGTGGAGAGCAGCTGGAGTTCGCAGCACAGCTGGGCTGGCCCGAGCCATCCCTGAGCACCTGGGCCAGGACTCCCGATGCAGAGATCGAGACCGGGGTGCCCTGTGTACACCAGAAATGTCCGTCCACCGGGCGGTCTCGCAGGCGTGGGTCTATCTCCTTGCCACGAGAAAGCCACAGCCTGACACACGTAGCCCGGAGACAGTCGGACCGCTCCAGGAAGCACAGGTCGGGAAGCCTGCACCTGGACGAAGCCTGCGGAGAGGCGCCCACCAAGTCCAGCAGGACCTGGCAGCAGCAGAAGCCTCAGCCGGATCAGCCCTGCCCCCGCTACCCTGCAGCCCCAGGAGGTTCATCCCCGCCCAACCCCGGAGGAGCCTACAGTCCCCAGAGTGTTCGGTCTTTGCTTTTCGAAAAGACAGTCAATGGAGACCGGTGGGCAGTGCCGGTGAGCAGACATGTAGGACTCTGGTCCCCTTCCTCAGTTCTCACCGACAAGTCTTCTGTGCACTCCCTCGAGTTCCGGAAGCAATCCACCTGTGTGTGCACCCAGAAGAGGGGCAGTGGCGACAGGACCGAGTCCTTAACCAACCAGTACTCCCAGCCCTCCACCTCCTGCGAAGAAACGAGCAGCCAGCATGCTCAGGTCCTCAAGAGCAAGCTGGACGAAGCGGTGATATCCTCCAGGGACCAGAAGATCGTGGCCCTGGTGCTGAGCCGGCTCAAGAAGGCCCAGAGGATGAGAGAGCTCCAACAACAGGCAGCAGTCGCCTGGGAAGAGCTGAAGCGCTCAGACCAGAAAGTCCACCTGACCCTGGAGAGAGAGCGCAGGCTGCTGCTGCAGCAGAGCCAGGAGCAGTGGCAAGGACAGAAGGAACCGCACAAGCCACGGCGAGATCATGAGCAGCTCCACCAGGGCCACGAGCAGCCGGGACAGCGGCGGGACCGCCAGGAAAAGAGCCCTGCTCAGTCGGAGAGCCAGAGTCGGTGGCCTGTGCAACTTCACAACCCCGAGAACAGAGACCTGGACAAGCTAGATGGGGCGCACGCCCAGGCTGAGCACCTCAAACAGTGTCAAATGCAGCGTCTGCGGGAGCAGGAGAGGGTGCTGCAGAGTCTGCAGGATCTGAACAAGCTGCATCTGAAGAAGAGGCTGGAGGCGGTCTATCACAGGAGGCAGCAGCACCTGGCAGAGAGCCAGAAGAAGATCCAGGAGAGCAACCTGAGCTCGGTTGTCAACTTCCAGGCCCGCAAGGTTCTCATGGACTGTCAGGCCAAGGCGGAGGAGCTCCTGAGGAAGCTGTCGCTGGAGCAGAGTTCCCAGTGCTCCCAGGACACCCAAGAAAGTCTGGCTAAGGATAGGCACCGAGAACAGCAGGGGAAGGCCCAGAAGGAGGCAGAGCAGTTCCAGCGAGTGAGGTGGCGAGCAGAGCAGGCAGAGGAGCGGCGCCAAGAGAGCAAGCGGGTCCTGGCAGAGTTGGCTGAGCAAAAGATCAGGCAGGCCAGGTGTCAGGCGCACAAGACCAGCAGGGACAGGGCGCAGCACCTGCAGGAGCTGAACGTCCTGCAGGAGAGGAACCACCACATCACGAAGCTGAAAGCGGAGAAGGAGGAGAAGAGTCACATTGAGGGCATCAAAGAAGCCATCAAGAAGAAGGAACAAAGTGTGGAACAGATGACCCGACGGAAAGATCCCATCTTCCAGGAGTTCCAGAAGGTTCCCTCAACCTCCAAGACAGACTGCTGCTTTGACCACATGGCAGCAGAAGTTCAGCTGCCTATGCACCAGCAGAGTGGAATGTACTGAGAGCACAGGAGGATCAGGGCACAACCCAGCAGCGAGAGACGTCACTGTCATCATGCCATTCCGCTTTATAATCTGAGTTTAACCGAGCATTGATTTTTAAAAAAAAAATTATATAAAATAGCTGCAATTTCCTCCCACAAATTAGTTCATTGATTCACTTGGATGGTGTGAATGGGGTTGGTGAGAAAAAGTGGGGGGCAGGTATAAAAACTGCTTGGCTTTTGAGTTTTGAGGTGAAACAGAAAGCATTCACTTGCCTTTTAAAGAATCTAGAAGCACACATGAGGCAAGAGTTGGAGTCAGTAGGTATACAATTGGCCGGGGGCTGGGAGTGGGTGAAGGTGTGCATCTTTAATCCCAGCACTCAGGCACAGAGGCAGCCAAATCTCTGTGAGTTCGAGGCCAGTGTGGTCTAAAGAGTGAGCTCAAGGACAGCCAAGGGCTACACAGAAACCCTGTCTCATAATACATACATACATACATACATACATACATACATACATACATACATATTTCAATTGGGAATAGTGTTTTATGATACAGCTTGGTAAGTATTGTGCAAATGTACAACTTGAGAAAGGTGAAATTCAGAGTAGCAAAGGTGGGCTAGGAGACTTTCCAAGCAGCTAGATTGGGGAATCTTGTATATTCTAATCCTTTCTGAAGAGTTTGTGACACACTCTCAAAAGCCTACAGTGTAGACATCCATTTAACCTAACCTAGTATTAATAACAAACCATGACCCCACCCTCTTTTTCTTTTCCCTTTCTCAGATCATTCCATGGAATTGATGTTGGGTGATGAAATACCGTTGTTATTGTTGTGGTTGTTTGTGGTGGTGGTGGTGGTGGTCCCATAACTCCTCCCAGATCAAGGAGTTCTTTGGCCATCCCTACTTATGGCAATGTTGTTTGTAACCCACTAGGACTGTGTGTGTACTGTCCCACCAGTCATGGTATCTAAGAGCACAGTGAGATCCAGTGGGCACACACAGCACTACTATATACTGCCAGCACCACAGCCCAGCATGGGCTGTGACACAGTGAGTTCCAGGACCAGCCTGGGCTACACAGTGAGGCCTTGTCTCAAAAAGAAAAAAAGTAAGCCACTAGAATATATTTGGTCTTTCTTGGACTGGGAATAGGAAGGTGTGGTGTGGTGTGGTGTGGTGGTGTGGTGTGGGTGGAGGGTGGGGAGCTGGCAGGTGCTCCCATCCAGCCTTATGCATCCAGACTCTATTGGCATTTTTCTCTTCCCCTCTATTTCTCTGTCTCTTTTGAAGGAGGCACGTGATGTCATTTTGTCTACCCACATTGAACCTAATTAGCTTAACTAGGCTCTATGTGAGTGACTAAACATGACTCAGTAATATGACTTCTTAAAGATAAGGAGGCAGCAACAATAGAAATTAACCCATCCTATCTCTCAACTTCAATTGAACAACCAAATGTTTTCTTTAAAAAAAAAAAAAAACACTTTATGGAAAATTTAAAGTTATTTTGGTTGTTATTGTCTGTACGTGGGGGATTGCCCATGTGGAGGTCAGAGGACAGGAATTTGGCTCAGGTTGACAGCCTTGCACCAACCAATTGTGAGCACCTTTACCGGCTGTACCACCCCACAGCCCTGTCGTAGGATCTGCATGAAACCGGGAAGGGAAAAGATAGACAGTGTCAGAGGATTTTTGTCTTGGAACAGCATCAAACAACCAGACCAGTACTTTTATACAGAGGTCAGAGTGACATCCACTGTTTATACAACGGAAATCAGACCCTTGTCCCTATCCCCTTTTCTTCCTCTGTTCTAGGTCCCGCCTACTGGCTGTCCTTAAATAGACCACCTCATTTCTCCATTCAAACATACTCAGAGACCCCTGCTCAAGAATGCAAGCACTCACAGATCGAGGCATCAGTTTCCCATGTTACTGTCTTCATGTCTAAGTCAATCCATGATCTAGCCATGTCAGCAGGTGTTCTGGGATAACATTTAAGATGTTTCAGACAAGCCTTGACACAAATCTGGGGTTTTCTTACCTATAAAATCAGAAGTAACTCGTGCTTCCCAGGCATTGCTGTTAAGTGATAATTAGATGAAATCATACATGCAAGGTGTTTGGCAAAGGATCCCAGGATCTAATGTTCTGTAACTCAATACTGTGGCTCTCATTATTAATATTGACATGTGTCATTGTTAACCCTACCCCTTTGAGCTTAATGCCTTCTCACCAGCTACCTCCTCCCACCATATCCCAATTTGTTCTTCCTGCACACACCTGCATGCCCTGGAAGGAGTATCCATTTTGCAATTTAATCTTGGCTTCCTAATTGGACTACATGCTACTTGAGGCCAGGGACAGTGCCTTGTACTTCTTTTATGATTTTGTTTAAGGGTATCGTCAACACTGTTCAAATAGAAGACAGCAAGTAGGTTGTTTGTACTCCACACCCAGATTCCATTCCTCTCCTGCATTGTCCTTTGTTCCAAGAAATAAATATAGACTTATTCCTTTGTCTAACCTTTGTGGAAACTACTGGCCAAAATAACATGTACAAAATAAAACTTACAGAAGCAAAGGGGACATCGCCATCTCTTAAGTACAACTAAAAACCCTAAACATTTTATTGAGACAAGCAGAGAATTCTGCAAAAAGTCAGCCCAGCCCTAGACTCACGAGCCAAAATAAACCCACACAGTCCTAAGTTCCTTGAGTTTTCACTTCACCTCATATGTTCCGGACTGGTGAGTTAAAATACTAAAGTATGAACAACAGTCCCAGTACAGCCTGGTGGCTCTAACCGAAGCCCTAGAACTACATGACTCCAGCTAAACTGGACAGGAAAACCTATGGCTTCACCTTTGCCTTTGCTGGCCAAGACTGAGCAGAGAAATGGCGTTCTTTCCTTACCAGGTCCCCTGTCATAGCAATGCTGCAGAAACTGCATAGCAGCCTAGGCTCCTAACTTCCACACATCTCAACTTTCTGCTAAGTGATATCATAGGAAGCCTGGCAGGGAGTAGAAACTTTCATCAGTATCCAGCAAAAACAAGACCACACATCTCTTCTCTCACCCATCCACCTTGCTACCTGAGGAGCAAGGCAGACCTCATGCTTCTCCTGACCTGCAGCAGTACCACAGGAAGAGTGAAGAGGAGCCCCAAGGCTCCCATCCCCTCCCAGCAACAAGGAAGAGCAGCTCTACCCACTTCGGTTGGCAATGGCTAAGTGTGGAAGTGGATTTTTACTCCTGCTCCTCAGTATGAGGCAATGCCGTGTTTTATTTCCAGGGGTGATACCAAAGAAAACCAGATGCAAAGAATATTTTAAATAAGACCCAATGAGTCTTTTTACTGAACAAACTGTCTAGGTCATTATTGAAAATCATTCCACAAAGACCCATGTCTACCTTGAGCTGAATGAGAAAGAATCCATACATGCCAAAAGAAATGTTGGAGTTATCTAAAACCCATTCATAAGCAGCTATAACAACAGCAGCAGCAACAAAAAGTTTCAAAAGGTGATTTCAAGCACACTTAAAATAGTCAAGAAAATCTCAGCGGAGGCATAAAAAGTATAAAGAACCCAGTGAGAAACATGAAAACGGAAAGTGAACTGTACAACACAAAAACTCTAAGATGGCTCGATATGAGAAGGTTCTTTCTGTGCAAACCTAGGGACAGGAGTTTGAGCCCCAGAATCCACAAGGTGGAAGAAGAGAACAGATGTCACAAGGAACAAAAAATCAATGTGATGGCTTCGTCTGCAGAATGAAAGGAACAGAGGGAAGAAGCCGTGAGACAGAATAGCAAAAACAAGCAACTCTGGGAGTAAGAGAGAAATTTTATTTTAAAAACTGAGTAAAGCCTCCTGTACTTGCAGGACGGTGAGAGAAGAGCCAGTGTTCATGGTGTGGGAATCTTAGGAGGAATGCAAAGAAGGGGCCAGCTTGGAAAAGCACCCAAGGAAATAATAGGCCCTAATATTTCAAAGTTAGTGAAGAAGTTTTGTAAAACTAGGGGGATAGAGACAGGAGGCTTTCAAGAGCTTGCCACCCAGGCAGCATAGCTGAGTGAGTTCCACATACACTGAGACACCCTGACTCACATACAGAAGTGAAAAGTAATCAAAGCACTACTTGGCATTAACCTCTGGCCTTCACATAAGTGCACATACAAACATGTATACATACATGAACCTTATGCACAATCACAAGGAATCCCCAAGACCCAAGTTCTTGTTGTTTACAAAAAAACATGCCTCATTGGCAAAGACACATCCAGACTGTGAGAGGAAGAATGGAAATCAATACACCAAATAATGGGGACCAGGAACAAGTAAAAATAGCCATCCTTGGCATTTAATGGAGCAGACTTCAAGCCAAAATTAGAAGAGATTAAAAAAAAATCACTACAGATTACTAATGGGAACAATCCATCAGGAAGATATAACAGTTGTAAAGATATATACACCAAAAACTAGAGCATCAGTTTCATAAACACACACACACACACACACACACACACACACACACACACACACACACACTGCACATAAAGGTTCAGAACATCCAGACACAAAATATCCCATTCTCATCAACAGGACATTCAGACTAAAAGACACCTCAGAAAGTGCACCACAGATCAAACTGGACAAGAGACACTTACAAAACATTTCATTCAATGTCTCCAACAGCCCATGGAACCAACTCTGCAATACTACTTTAGGTTATAAAACAAGACACATTAGATACCAAAGCTAAAATGAGTTCTTAGTCTTTTTACATCATAGTGGAATAGAGGTGACTATCAATGACAATGGGAACTTATGGACACTATACAAACACATATAAAGAGCGCCGTGCTCTTGAATAATCAGTGGACCACTGAAAATATTTTCACATTCCGGGATTCAAAGAAAGGTACAATTTGACAGAACTTTGGCCTGGGAAAAGGAAGTTCTAAGAGGAAAGTTTAATTATATTAAAATGCAAAGCAATCTTAAATAGATAATGATATATACCCCAAGGTCTTTGATAAACAAGAACAAGCTGAACCCAAAGTCATTAGAAGAAATAAATGGTACAGATGGTAGAAATTAATGAAATGGAAACCAAAGGGAAAAAAAGTACTAA